TGCTGGTTTGGATAGCTAGGAGTGGGGGGGGGGGGTGGAACGTGCAGATCTGTCCTCGCAGAGGAGGGAGAGCTTGTACCTGAATAAACCTTGGTCTTAAAGGTGCCACTGGACTGTTTTGGACCGGGGAGCTTGGGGGGGGGGGAAATCTCTGCAAATTACCTGGCTGCTTCTTGCTCTGACTGAGGGATGCTGGGAGCAGGGGGCGGGGCTTGTTGCATGTGCCCGCCCCCTGGTCTCTTTACTGCCGGAGCTCCGCTCCTGTGCGCTCCCACAGGAAATGACCCCTGATTGATGATGATAAATCAGCTAGCCCGATCTCAGAAGCTAAGCAGGGTCGACCCTGGTTAGTCCTTGGATGGGAGACCGGCAAGGCAGTCCAGGGTTGCTTTGCAGAGGCAGGGAAGGGCAAAGCATCTCTGAGCGTCTCTTGCCTGGAAGAACCTGTGTGGTCGCCCTAAGTCAGCTCTGATTCGATGGCGAAGAAAAAAAACTATATCGTGGGCAGGTGTTTTGGTAGCTTTTTAAAAATTACTTAACGCTCAAGGCCAGCGTGGCCACTTACCCGTCCCTCCCGAACCCCTTGAGTAAATTGGAACCTGCTTTGTGACTCGCATGCCGCAGTGGTGCCAACGTGTCTCTTTAACGCGCAGGTCGCTCAACGGATCCCCGCGGAGCATGGAGGGCCAGTCCCCCTTATATCTCCACTCCTCCAAGTGCAGTTCCTGCGGCTCGCAGTCCCCCCAGCATTCAGAGATGTGCCTTCACACCCCCGGCTCGAACTTTGGAGAAGAGATGGGGGAAACGCGGTCGGAATACTCCGATTCCAGTTGTGGTGAGTCTCGCCGGACCCCTCCCTTGTTCCGCTCCGTTGCCAGTGTCTTTCTCTCTCTCTCTCTCTCTCTCTCTCTCTTCCTGCCCTCCCCGCCATATAGAGGTGCCAACAAGCCGGGCTCTGGTTTCAGGTAGAATCTACAGTGGGGTCCGTTTCTTCCGACTGCCTCCGTTTTACGTAGAGGCAGCCTTAATACTCGCGCTTCGTTTTCCGCTCTGTCTCAGATTTCTGCTTGGCTGCTTGGCTTTGGGAGCCAGTTTGGTGTTGCGGTTAGGAGCGCGGACTCTAATCCGGGAGAACCGGGTTTGATTCCCCATGCCTCCACTCGCAGCTGCTGGTGTGACCTTGGGTCAGTCACAAGTTCTCACAGAGCTGTTCTCCCACGAGCAGTCCTCGAAAGAGCTCTCTCAGCCCCGCCTGCCTCACAGGGTGTCTGTTGTGGGGAGGGGAAGGGAAAGGAGCTTGTAAGCCGCTCTGAGACTCCTTCGGGTAGTGAAGGGCCATGGGGCATAAATCCAATCTCTCCTTCTTCAGACTTCTGCAATCCCAAACCTACTGCATTGGCTATTGAATGTCCTGATTGGTTGATTGTACCGACTCACTGTGTGTACACTCATGAGCACACATGAAGCTGCCCTATACTGAATCAGACCCTCAGTCCATCAAAGTCAGTATCGCCTACTCAGACCGGCAGCTGCTCTCCAGGGTCTCAGGCGGAGGTCTTTCCCATCACCTCCTGCTTGGTCCTTTCAACTGGAGATGCTGCCGGGGACTGAACCTGGGACCTCCTGCATGCCAGGTAGAGGCTCTTCCACTGAGCCACAGTCCCTCTTTACAGCTCTCCAGGGTCTCAGGCAGAGGTCTTTCCCATCACCTATTGCCTGGTCCTTTGGACTGGAGGTGCTGGGGATTGAACCTGGGACCTTCTGCATGCCAGGCAGAGGCTCTTCCACTGAGCCACGGCCCCTCTTTACAGCTCTCCAGGGTCTCAGGCCGAGGTCTTTCCCATTACCTACTGCCTGGTCCTTTCAACTGGAGGTCCTGGGGATTGAACCTGGGACTTTCTGCATGCCGAGCAGATGCTCTGCCTCTTAACCACGGAGTCACTCCCCTGAATCCGCCTTGAGTCTCAGTAGGGTTGCCAGGTCTGGGTTGGAAAATACCCGGAGACTTTGGGGGTGGAGCGGGGAGAGGGTGGGGTTTGGGGAGGGGAGGGGCCTCCGCAGGGTCCAGCGTCATGGAGTCCACCCTTCAGAGCAGCCCTTTTCTCCAGGGGAGCTGACCTGTGTCAGTCGTAAAAGCGGAAGATCTCCAGGCCCCACCTGGAGGCTGGCAACCCTAAGTCTCAGTGGAAGAGGTGGCCTGCCGATGATGTCAGTAAATCAATGGCTGTAGTTTTTGTCCAAAGTCTTCAACTCATTTGCAGATTTTCAAGCTTCCAAACCTTCCATTTTTTTTTAATCCCTGGGTTCTGGCCTCAGCGGCGGAACCTAGCATGTCTTTTTCTCAGGTCTGCCAACCTATTGCCATTTGTAGGGATTCAAAATTTGACGTCCGGATGCACAGATTGCAGAAGTAGAACTCCTCCCCTTTTAATCTTAAGGACGGGAACGGGACACCGGGTTCCGCTTCCAAGCCGGGAGCGTCTTGGCCGGGGCTCTTTCCGATAGATCACAGGGTGCTGTACAAACCGTTCTTGCAGGGCAGGCTGCGCCTTGGCGACTAGCCGCCACGGCTGTGCAGATTGCCACTGGCCCCGAGTGCCACGTCCGTAATTCTGTAGGGTGTTCTTTTGGGGGTTCACCTGGAACCCTGGCTTGGGGAGCCCCCCTGGCCCGGAGCAGCGTTGTGGCCCTCCTTTCCGTGTGTTTTCCGGGCTCGCTCATCTCACGCCCCCGTCCCCTCCTCTTCCCCCCCCTCTGTCTCCCGACAGAAAACGGGACCTTTTTCTGCAACGAGTGTGACTGCAGGTTTTCGGAAGAGGACTCTCTCAAGAGACACTCCCTCCAAATGCACAGTGACAAGCCCTACAAGTGCGACCGCTGCCAGGCCTCCTTCCGCTACAAGGGGAACCTAGCCAGCCACAAAACCGTCCATACAGGTACTGCCACCACCTGGTGGAAAAAGGCATCTCGGTTTGGCCCATCGGGATGCGCTGGGGCCCAGAAAGCTGTGTGTGGCCAGAGGCACAGAGGGGCAGTGTTCCCCTCTAACCCGAGTTAGCGTGAGCCAGCTCACAGGTTTTTAGCCTCCGGCTCGCATGTTTTTGTCTCAGCTCAGGAAGGGATGGCTCCAGAGCAAACTAATTGATGCAGCCGCCAAATCGCTCGCTCGCCACTTTCATGCCAGGAGCTCACGAAGTGGAATTTTTGCTCACATGGATGCCACAGCTTAGAGGGAGCATCGGTCCTGGGTTCAGATCCAGCGTTTTCCCATCTGTAAATTGGGCCTCTGTCTTCCCATCTGTAGATGGGGAGCAGTGCCTGTCTCACAGTGAGGAGGAGATCTCTTGGAAGATGTGTGTACTGGCAAATCGAGACAAATTTGCCAATCCTTGTCTCTGTGCCCACCTTTTCTCGCCTCTCCTTGTGCTGTTCGGAGGGCCGAGAAACATCCCCTCAGACGCTAGTTTAGCCCATCTCCAGGTGGCACCTGGAGACCTCCTGCTATTACAGTTGGTCTCCTGGCAACCAAGATCAGTTCCCCTGGAGAAAATGGCTGCTTTGGCGGGTGGACTCCGTGGCCGTATCTCCTGCTGTGGTCCCTCCCCTCCCCAAACCCCGCCCCCTCAGGCTCCACCCCCCCACCCAGACCTGTACACCCTATCACAGGCCCACTTTGCCCTGCTCAGCCAGTTGGTCCAATGGGAGCAGCGGTGGGCGGGTTCAGTCGGCCCTTGGTGGCCATCCTGAGAGGGTCTGGAGATGCGCTCTCCGGGGGGTGGGGGACGCTCAGCTTAGCCTTGCATCTGCTCATGGAGGGGGAAGAAAGCGGATCGTGTCCCTGCCGTGTAAAGCTTTTTCCTTCCCCCTTCTGTTTCGTAAAGCACCCTGTGATCTATGGCAAAGGGCAAGATCTCTCATCCCCAGTCTTGCTTGGTCAAACGATGAGGCTGGAAGTCCCCCCCCCCCCCCCCCCAGCCAAAGACTTTCATCTCGGCCACTGACTCTCTGGGAGGCTGGTGGGAAAACCCTCTCTGCGCTAGGGACAAACAGGCCTACTGGTTTACAGTGTTTGTAAGGGTTACGGGCCCTGACCCAGATCTCAGAAGCTAGGCAGGGTCGGACCTGGTTAGTCCTTGGATGGGACACCTCCAAGGAAGTCCGGGGTCGCCACGCAGAGGCAGGCAAGGGCAAAACCACCTCCGTTTGTCTCTCACCTCGAAAACCCTGCGGGGTCACTGTAAGTCAAGTGTGACTTGACAGAACTTTCCGCCACCCCAAGGGTTACATAGGGGAGGCACATGAAGAGCCAGTTTGGTGTCGTGGTTAAGTGTGCAGAGTCTAATCTGGGAGAACCGGGTTTGAGTCCCCACTGGATGACCTTGGGCAAGCCGTAGTTCTGATAAGAGCTGTCCTTGAAAAGAGCAGTTTCTGCCAAGAGCTCTCTCAGCCCCACTGACGTCACAGGGTGTCTGTTGTGGGGGGGGAGGAGGTTGTAAGCCGCTCTGAGACTCCTTTAGGTAGTGAAGGGAAGGGAGTGCCAGTTTGGTGTCGTGGTTAAGTGTGCAGAGTCTAATCTGGGAGAACCGGGTTTGAGTCCCCACTGGATGACCTTGGGCAAGCCGTAGTTCTGATAAGAGCTGTCCTTGAAAAGAGCAGTTTCTGCCAAGAGCTCTCTCAGCCCCACTGACGTCACAGGGTGTCTGTTGTGGGGGGGGAGGAGGTTGTAAGCCGCTCTGAGACTCCTTTAGGTAGTGAAGGGAAGGGAGTGCCAGTTTGGTGTCGTGGTTAAGTGTGCAGAGTCTAATCTGGGAGAACCGGGTTTGAGTCCCCACTGGATGACCTTGGGCAAGCCGTAGTTCTGATAAGAGCTGTCCTTGAAAAGAGCAGTTTCTGCCAAGAGCTCTCTCAGCCCCACTGACGTCACAGGGTGTCTGTTGTGGGGGGGGAGGAGGTTGTAAGCCGCTCTGAGACTCCTTTAGGTAGTGAAGGGAAGGGAGTGCCAGTTTGGTGTCGTGGTTAAGTGTGCAGAGTCTAATCTGGGAGAACCGGGTTTGAGTCCCCACTGGATGACCTTGGGCAAGCCGTAGTTCTGATAAGAGCTGTCCTTGAAAAGAGCAGTTTCTGCCAAGAGCTCTCTCAGCCCCACTGACGTCACAGGGTGTCTGTTGTGGGGGGGGAGGAGGTTGTAAGCCGCTCTGAGACTCATTCAGGTAGTGAAGGGTGGGGTATAAATCCAATCTCTTCTTCTTTAGGATCTGAGGGAGCACTGTAGAAGCCCTGTATTTGTTAGATAACAATTTAGCACATAGTGCGGCAATAGAAGGGTGTGTCATTTTTCCAGAGGTCCAGAGCTCTGTATATAGACAAGCAGTGAACGTCGGAGAACCGCTGGAAAAATTTTTTAATAGCTGAGCCAAATTTCATGGGCCTCTTGAAATTTTAATTTGAACTGGGCTTGTGTGCCATGCACAAAAAATAGATTCTCCCCCCCCCCCAAGACGGAAAAGAGACTGGGCTTACAAGAGTACAAGGGGGGGGGGGGTTGGACAGAAAGATGATAGACAGTTGATGAGAAGTAATCATGATGAATGCCCAGTTTGGTGTAGTGGTTAAGTGATTCCCCGCTCCTCCACTCGCAGCTGCTGGATGACCTTGGGCAAGCCATAGTTCTGTCAGAGCTGTTCTCTCAAGGACGATTCTGGAGGGAGCTCTCTCAGCCCCACCTGCCTCACAGGGTGTCTGTTGTGGGGAGGGGAAAGGAAAGGAGTTTGTAAGCCGCTCTGAGACTCCAAGTGACGGGCGGGGCATAAATCCACTCTCCTCTTCTTCTGAGCCTTCAGGGGGTCTAAATCCTGAGGACTAGAAACCTGGCCTGCTTTTTTTTTTAAGAGGAAGTTGGGTTACGAATGACCCACAAATCCCTCCTGCAACTTGCTGATCCTAAATACTTGTTGTGCAGTAAGTTGAGTTGAAATCAGGACACCCGTCTTGCGGGGGCGACACTGATAGTTCTGTATCGGTCTGTGACCAGTTCCTGGACAACAAAATCAGTTCTGGTTGGGCTTTGAGCTTCACAAGAGAGGAGCTTCTCCATTGTCGCTCCGGTGCTAAGCGGGCTGTGTTCCGTTTGTCCCTGCAGGCGAGAAACCCTACCGGTGCGGAATTTGCGGGGCCCAGTTCAACCGGCCGGCCAACCTGAAGACTCACACACGGATCCACTCCGGAGAGAAGCCGTACAAGTGCGAGACCTGTGGCGCGAGATTTGTCCAGGTTTGTGTGTGCGGATTTTAATACGCTGGAAAGGTGGAAGGGCTCATGCTGAATGTCCACCCTTCCGGACCTGTCTGCTGTGACTGGGTAGTAGAATCATAGAATCATAGAGTGGGGAGGGACCTCAAGGGTCATCTAGCCCAACCCCCTGCACAGTGCAGGAACACCAGCTCTGCATGTATCAAGTTCAGATTCTGGTCTCTTCAGTTAAAAGTCCTTCAAGTAGAGGGACTGGGGAAAGCCCATCTTGTAATAATGGTTTTAAATTATGGGCGGAAATAACTGGATATTAGGGGGGGGGGATATTACAGTAAGAGTAGTTCAACAGTGGAATTGACTGCCAGGGGAGGTGGTGAGATCCCCCTCACTGGCCGACTTCAAGCAGCGGCTGGACAAACATAAGAACATAAGAGAGGCCAATGTTGGATCAGGCCAATGGCCCATCTAGTCCAACACTCTTGTCACACAGTGGCCAAAAATACCAGGTGCCATCAGGAGGTCCACCAGTGGGGCCAGGACATTAGAAGCCCCTCCCCACTGTTGCTTCCCCCAAGCACCAAGAAGACAGAGCATCCCTTGCCCCAGACTGAGAGTTCCTATAAGAACATAAGAGAAGCCAATGTTGGATCAGGCCAATGGCCCATCCAGTCCAACACTCTGTGTCACACAGTGGCCAGAAATACCAGGGGCCACCAGGAGGTCCAGCAGTGGGGCCAGGGCTCCAGAAGACCTCCCACTGTCCCCCCCCTCCAAGCACCAAGAAGACAGAGCATCATTTGCCCCAGACATAACATAAGAGAAGCCAATGTTGGATCAGGCCAATGGCCCATCCAGTCCATCACTCTGTGTCACACAGGGGCCAAAAATACCAGGTGCCATCAGGAGGTCCACCAGTGGGGCCAGGGCTCCAGAAGACCTCCCACTGTTGCCCTCCAAGCGCCAATACAGAGCATCCCTTGCCCCAGACTGAGAGTTCCTATAAGAACATAAGAGAAGGCAGTGTTGGATCAGGCCAGTGGCCCATCCAGTCCAAATACCAGGTGCCCTCAGGAGGTCCAGCAGTGGGGCCAGGACACTAGGAGCCCTCCCACTGTTGCCCCCCCCCCCCCAAACACACCAAAAGAGCGAACATATATTTGCCCCAGACATAACATAAGAGAAGCCAATGTTGGATCAGTCCAACACTCTGTGTCACACAGTGGCCAAAAATAACAGGTGCCATCAGGAGGTCCATCAGTGGGGCCAGGACACTAGGAGCCCTCCCACTGTTCCCCCCCCCCCCAAAAAAAAACAAGAATACTGAACATCTCTTGCCCCAGACTGAGAGTTCCTATCTATAAGAACGTAAGAGAAGCCAATGAAAAGCGCCAGTTGAGGGTGGCCGGACCAGCAGAGGAGGCGGTCTGTTGCCCAGTGCAGGGGGTTAGCAGAGGTCTTTGTCTGGCCCACTGTGAGAAACAGGGTTCAGGGCTTATGGTATGACCCATCAGGGATTTTCTCAGGTCTTGCTGAAGCAACATGAGAGATCATGCATGGTCGGTATTGTCCACTCAAACTGGCAGCCTCTCTCCAGGGTCTCCGGCAGAGGTTTTTCACATCACCTGCCGCCTGGTCCTTTTTAACTGGAGATGCCGGGGATTGAACCTGGGACCTCCTGCATGCCAGGCAGAGGCTCTGCCACTGAGCCACAGCCCCTCTTTACAGCTCTCCAGGGTCTCAGGCGGAGGTCTTTCCCATCACCTCCTGCCTGGTCCTTTGCAACTGGAGATGCCGGGGATTGAACCTGGGACCTCCTGCATGCCAAGCAGAGGCTCTGCCACTGAGCCACGGCCCCTCCCCTGAAGGACAATCATATTCTCAGTGATCACCGCCGTTCTCAGTTTGTGAGTCCTGGCCGGAAAGCGGATGATGTGTTCTGAAATAACGGTGATATGAATACCTCTTCACAGCAGTTTGAGACGCTCAGTTTCAGAGGCAGGGAAACCCAATTCAGACTCTTCCTGCCATACTTAGATGTCTGTCTGTCCCCCCTGTTAGAAAGGTGGGGTCCCAGCTTTGCTTTCTGCAACCGCGTGTCTTGACAGCGCCGTTTCTCTGCTAGGTAGCGCACCTCCGCGCTCACGTGCTGATCCACACTGGCGAGAAGCCCTACCCGTGTGAAATTTGTGGGACGCGCTTCAGGCACCTCCAGACGCTCAAGAGTCATCTTCGGATCCATACCGGAGAGAAGCCGTACCATGTAAGTGACCCTTTCACGTTTTGCTTATTATTATTATTATTATTATCATTATCATTATCATTATCATTATTTTAAAAAACATATTTTAGAACATAAGAGAAGCCCATGTTGGATTAGGCCAATGGCCCATCTAGTCCCACACTCTTCTGTGTCACACAGTGGCCAGAAATACCAGGTGCCACCAGGAGGTCCAGCAGTGGGGCCATGATACTAGGAGCCCTCCCACTGTTGCCCCCCCCCCCCAAGCACCAAGAAGACAGAGCACCACTTGCCCCAGACCGAGAGTTCCTATCTATAAGAACATAAGAGAAGCCAATGTTGGATCAGGCCAATGGCCCATCTAGTCCAACAATCTGTGTCACACAGTAGCCAAAAATACCAGGTGGCATCAAGAGGTCCAGCAGTGGGGCCAGGACACTAGAAGCCCTCCCACTGCTGCCCCCCCTTCCAAGCACCAAGAATACAGTGCATCACTTGCCCCAGACTGAGAGTTCCTATAAGAACATAAGGGAAGGGAATGTTGGACCATGCCAAGCACCAAGAATATAGAGCATCACTAGCCCCAGACATAAGAACATAAGAGAAGCCAATGTTGGATCAGGCCAAAGGCCCATCCAGTCCAACACTCTGTGTCACACAGTGGCCAAAAATACCAGTTCTCTAGGGTCTCAGGCGGAGGTCTTTCCCATCACCTCCCACCTGGACCTTTTAACTGCTCAAGCAACGTGAGAGATCATGCATGGTCGGTATTGTCCACTCAAACTGGCAGCCTCTCTCCAGGGTCTCCGGCAGAGGTTTTTCACATCACCTGCCGCCTGGACCTTTTTAACTGGAGATGCCGGGGATTGAACCTGGGACCTTCTGCATGCCAAGCAGAGGCTCTTCCACTGAGTCACAGCCCCTCCTTACAGTTCTCTAGGGTCTCAGGCGGAGGTCTTTCCCATCACCTTCCACCTGGGCCTTTTAACTGGAGATGCCGGGGATTGAACCTGGGACCTTCTGCATGCCAAGCAGGCACTCTCCCACTAAGCCACAATTCCTCCCTATTATGTGGTTTGGTGCGGACTTGCACCAGCTCAGCTTTGGGGGGATTGGGAGTCTCCCCCAAAGAGTTTTGCACACCCCCCCACGGTATCTTTAATAAGGCACTTAAAAAAAAATCAGCTCTGTGTATATTAATACCTGCTCTCTCTTTCTCCCTTTCTCCGAAGTGTGAAAAGTGCAACCTGCATTTCCGCCACAAGAGTCAGCTCCGTCTCCATCTTCGTCAGAAGCACGGGGCCATCACGAACACGAAAGTGCAGTACCGTGTCTCAACATCAGAGGTCCCCCCAGAGCTCCCGAAGGCTTGCTGAAGACGGGCAGGGTTGCGGAGGGAGGCGGTGCAGAATTAGATGCGGTCAGGATAGGGGTGGGACAGACAGGGGGTTGTGTCCAAAGGATACTTATAACACTTTAAATAGAAAAGAAAAAAAAAACCTTTTTGTCACACAATGGAGTGCCTCTAGAAGCCCAGAATGCAGATAGGTGGAAAAGAAACATAAAATAAACGGGTTTTGTTTTAATTATTTTGTTTCCCAGTTATGTGAATCTTTAAAAACACATAGTCTGATCGATTGTGTGCGGGAGAGAGGTTGGAAAAGGCCTTTCTTTAAAAAGTCTGTGCGGTGGAGTGTCAAATGTTTTTAACCCTTCGCTGCCAGAAGATGAGGAATGTATATCATTTTACGGGAACAAATTTTTATTTCTTTTTATGCAAAGTTGTGTGTGTTTTTAACGAAAGAGAAAGAGGGGGGGGGGAAGAGATTGTATATGCTATTGAAAGAGCAGAGGGCTTTAACTTTTTAACCAAAGGTGAAGGAATCTACGGCAGAGTTGTACATATATAAATAGATATATATATAAATAAAATATATATATAAAATATAAACCTTTAAAAAAGATATATATTAAATATATATATATAAATATATATATAAAAATGCATTGAAGTCTCATGTTGGCCTCTGCTGGCAGATCGCTGACCTGAGAGTCTTTATTGTGTCGGAGCACTTAAGAAGATATTTTAAAGTATTGCATCTGTACTGGTGAGAAAATATTTTGTCTAAGAGCAATGAGTGTGTATTTGTATTTTTTTGAAAGTGAAGGTTTACAATTTACATTTTAAAAAAAAGTGTGTATTAAACCAACCAAGCTGCAGAAAGAATTCAAAATAATATAAAGTGTAATTATTATTATTATTATTTTTGTTCTAGTTTTCAGTCTGTATATATGTAAAATGTTGTGTTCTTTTTTGGGGGGTGTGTGTTATTTTTCATTTGTTTTCACAGTGCCTTTCTTTTTAACGTACGGACTAAATTAGAGCGCAGTTGGAGGTACGGTCTGATCTCGCGCAAAAGGAGGTCAGTTGCAAACTCCGGTTTGGAGAACTGTCTGTCTTGTTTTCTCTCCTTTTTTTTTTCTTTTTCTTTTTGGTCTTCTT